GGGCCTCCACGGCCTGTTACAGAGAGAGCTTTACAATTTTTTTTTTTTACTTTACTCCGCATTGGTCATACCTATGTGACGCAACAGAGTGACGCACAGTTAACAGTACGACATATCTCATGTGACCATTTTATGTTGACAACGGCCGTACTCTTCACATGCAGTGCAGCTTAGAGTACTTTCTCCGAGATGACAATTGCAGTGTGGGTGCGGTTTCACTATATTTTAAGCAACACTGAACTCACTAATTCAGTACAATATGACTCTTACTTCTTCAACAACTGATATTTTCACGTGATACATGTGCAAGGAACTTGTGTATGTGTGTATGTATATATGCGTATATGTACATGTGAAACCTCACTTTATCAACGTTTTTACAGTTTTATGTCTAATGAATGAATGCTAAAACCTTGCTTTTCTTTCTTTCAGAATTTTATTTTGTTTCTTCCCTTGGCGCTACAGCCCCAATTTTGGCCTTGGCCTACCTCCATGAAACTCTCCGTTTCACTTCGGTTTATTAGTTCTTTGACATTCGGTAGGACGCCTTGGGCGGTTGATCAGCTCGTCGCAAGGCCTCTACCTGTACACAAATACAGAAAACGCACACACACACAAACACCAAACATTCATGCCCTGTGTGGTGTTCGAACCCACGGTCCAGGCTTCAGAGCGAGCAAAGTCATTGCATGACTTAGACCTCTCGGCTACCGTGAGCGGCTCAGAATTTTGTTTATACGAGTATCTTAATAATTCACGTTCAGTTGCTCTCCTTTACATTTTATAAGTTCGATTTATATATATATATCTTTTAGACACGCTTAAATAACCGAAGATACCATCACGCCTCTAAACACAGTCGTTGTTGTCTTCTCCTTTATCATCATCATCATCATCATCATCATCATCATCATCATTCTCCACTTATAAATGTTAACTAACAGAAGGTTGATATAAGTGTGAATAGCATGCCTATTTGAGATCAGCTGCCTTTGATATTTTTCAGTTTTCTGTTTTCTATCATATGAATATGGCGACCGTCAGACATTTGTTCGTTTATTTATTTTAGCAGAGACGTAATTTACATAGGGTAAGCCCGCATCTCTTAACGCCATTTTAAGATGATATGAATACGATGGACATGTTTATTACAAGAAATGACACTTAATATCTGCACATGCCTTTATATACTCCGGGCTTCCATTGGTGTGACAAATGTTCCAAATGTCAGTCTTCAGCTTCGATTTACATTCTTGCCAATCTCATTTCGTGGAACGTGACAAAGAGTGTTTCGATCACTGATGCGTGACGTGTCGATAATGTGACGAATTTTATCGTGATCTGTATCATCCTTGCTTTATAAAAACAAAGGTCTTTCATGTACCCCAAACGCGGGAGTCAAGAGGCTGAGAGCCGGTGATCGCGGTGGTCAGTTCTGCCGCTCCTTTTAGCCCAATTCAGTTCTGCCCCTTCTCTTGGGTTAATTCGGTTCTGCCGCTCCTCTTGGCCAAATTCAGTTCTGCGTCGCGTGTTGACTAAGATACATGGGCGCCCCATGAAAAATTGTTTAGAATCATTAAGTAAAATTTCTTATTACAATAAAAGTGTTTATATTATTTGATACAAATTAAATCTGCCAAGCCCCCTAACCTTTCATTATCATACCTATATTGATGTAATATTTTTTATTTGGAATGTTCTCGGAAATATCCTCATGATATTATGACATAAAGTCGTGGAACACATTGTATTCTGTAGGCTATTTTAGTTACATGCATAGCAACAGTGACGAGCTTTCAGATTACACTGAGATGTTTGATTCAGTTCAAATCTATATCACTTCTAATAACGCGCAGAAATTAATCAGTATATGATATAATTCTTAGTGCATAGTTTCTGAAAATATTGTTGTATTTATTTAAGCATTTGAAATGGGATTAGAAGTCACAAGTTCTCCTAAGAACGTACCATTTGATGAGATACGAGTTCTCACTGCAGTGGATAGAGAGTCTAGTATCTTATTGGATATGCCGCTGTGTAATCTTGTATAAGTTCACGGACGTTTCGGGAAATTATGCTGTCACTCTCTTCAGGGTCAAAATTAAGCTTAGCACGCACAGAGCAGAGTTATTACAAGTATTACCAAATTGTTTTATTAAGATACCAAAAATAAATAATAATATATCGGAGGGGTAAGTAGCACTCATGGGTAAAATAAACATATGCAAATATTTGATATGAAAACTTTAAGACATGAGTTTTATGAGATTTAGAGACGATGACGTTTTTACAAAAAATAGGAAGTGAAAATTTTGTGTCTTTTATGACATTTCATTCAAAGTATGTACGAGTATATACTGTCCAGCTAAGTAACTACAAACTCTAATGTGAAGCGAGCATTTAGGCTACTTTTGCAGTAAAGGTTTGATTAAAAGTCAACAATTGAAAAGGAGTACAAACATCTAAATTGATTTATTACTAGATAAATTTGCTGCAGACGACTTCAACAGCAATAATTTTCCAAAACGAGACAGGGTGTAAATTAGGATACTGGAGAGCGCTACTAAATGCCCGGCCTTTGATTTATTGAACAATTCTGATTCAAGTTACACAGGCTGGAAAACATTGCCAATAATAAAGGTTTAAGGAAATGGGATCATTCCTAGACATCTAAAAGCAGTCAGTAAGACACGGGATCACGTAAATAGTCTAGTAAAAGTCATTTGCGCTTCATGATCCAAACAAATCCGTCGGTATTTCGAAAATGTGTGTTATATTCGGGCAAAAAGTGTCTCACTCCTTATACCAGTGTCTTATCTCTCATATTTCTAAGGATGCGAGTGTCTGCTTGTTCCTTCTTTGCAAATTAACACCTCGTTACACCTCTTTGGATCAAGTTTGGCATGATGGTAGAAGACATCCCGGGGAAGTGTTTAGGTACTTCACCCTCCAACCCCTCCAAATTATAAACTCCAGAAAAACAATGTATTTTCTTGTTCTTCCAAGACCACTCGTCCTAGCACATAGAGACCCTTGTGTTCGACAGAGCTCAGAAAAATAAAGAGAAGACTTTCATAATCGGTGAGGGACTGTCAGCTTCTAAAGAAGGAATATTAACTTACAAGCCTGTTCCAGTAGAGATAACAGGAGTCTGCAACTGCTCACATTGACAGAGCCCCTTAAGGCTCGTGTGAGGTTATTTTGAGAGCGCAACAAACATAAATCTCTGGTTTTTGAGACGACTTCTTGAGCACGTGTTCCTCTTCTTCAAGAATCAAAATAATTGGCAACAGACAGTGTTTAAGAAATGTACACTGTTTGATTTCTTCTATCCATACTCACCTTTTTGCTGGTAGTCATAATTTTCGTAGAAGCATAACGTAACTGCTAGAATAAAAATGCGTTAAATTTTTATGACTAGCTAAATTATTGAAGTATGTAGTGGTCCCAGGTCCGAATATAGATGAGACACAAAATGACAAAAACAATCTGAGCCAGGTACCAACTTCATAAGGGATTTCAAACCGTGCTTCCCAAAACTTCAGTTCAAAAATGTGGGTTATAATGTACATTGTCTTTCTGATAGACCGATCCTACTTTTCTACAGCCCGTTTTCAATAATTCTTAATACAGTATATTCAAAATCAGATAAGAAATATTTCCCTCTTTTGAGTCATCCTAGTCTCCTGCATGACTCCACCTGTTTGTCTGTATAATGTATCTGTGAACACTATAATTGTCAGATGGTAGTTTCTCGCAAAATTAGGGATCAATATGACTGTCATGTCAGTGGAGGAAATCTCAGCTTATATATATATCAATTTCTGACTGTTTTGAAATGACGAACTTCGTAACAGAGTTGAGTTACGTGAAGGAAACCCACGCTTCTACAGATCTTTTTCTCAATAGTTCTCCAGCCCATTCAGGGCCCTGGTCTCTTACTCAGTTCCGTAATCATTTTTCACAGACGGTAGGACTCCTTGGATGAGTGATCAGCTAGTCGCAAGGCCTCTACCCAAACACAGAATAAACATATACACACACCAAACATCCATGCCTTAATTGGAATTCGAACCCACTATCCCAACGTTCGAGCGAGAGAAGACAGTTCATGCCTTAGACTAAGCGGCTATTTTGACCTGCTTGTGCATAATTATAGGCCCTTCCATTATATCAGTGTTTATTAAGATAATCCTGTATTTAAACATCATGTAGCATTACTATATCCAATACTGTTTATTGTACTACACAGTCCGTCAACAATGCAAGAAATTGTTCCTCCTTTCTTCCACTTTCACTTTCGACACAACAGGTTTCGGCCCTAAATGACCATCTTCAGGTGTCTTGCTGTGCCAAAACTGCTGCACTGCACTAATATTATCCATTCGTCATGTATGTGACTGTACGCTTCATGATTTAAAACGTCAAGTCATAGTCTAACTAGTCTGTACTAAAATAGCACACGTTGTAGTTAACTTAAATTAAATCAAATAAAATCTATTAGAATTTTCTATTAAAATTTCCTTTAAATGTTTGTAAAATTTTTATTACACCTCACAAGGGGCCTTGTCCACTTGAATTGATCTGTATCTTTTCTTCGGATGTTTTATTGCGGCAGCCTGTTTTATATTCGTAAGCCCTTTGTTGTGTCATGTCTGCAATCTGTAATTTTGCCCCTTGTTTGTGCGTTGTTCCCTCTAGCAGCGTGTGGTGTTACCTTCACTTGTCACCTGGGAGCCTCGACGTTTCACAACCCCATGGGCCTCCACGGCGTGTTACAGGGGTAGTTTTACTTTCACTTTATATATATATATATAGTTTTTACCACCAGGCCGACGGACTGCATAGTCCTTCGATACGCGTCAGAGATTCTGCGATGTGTACAGTATCCTGCCCCTAGCTTCCTACTTACCCAGGCCTCGAACACGCCATGTACAATTTTGGACGAATCAGTTCACCGAGAAATAACTTACAGCTGCTCGTATATTTTGTGATTCCAGATCAGCAAAGGTTGGATTCTGGGCCCCGAGCTGTGCGACATGTGGACATCTAGCGATGTTCTATGCTGCACCGCTTCCATACTCCACCTGGTCGCTATCGCTGTAGATAGGTGAGATTCTGTGCATTCATATAACATTCGTCCAGCTATGTAATGTAACGTCCTGTGATACAGAAATTTATCTCATTTCCTCAAACAGAATGTTCGTTGTTATATCGGCCATACCGCCGTAGAACCCGTCGTAAACTATTGGTATTAAGAAGAAAGTAGTCTTCTGGGACGTGGCACCGTGTAGATGTGGTGTTAGCCGACGTTTCGGAGGAACGTATCGCCTCCATCTTCAGGATAGAAGGAAAAATAAGAAATCCACAAGCGAAAAGACCGTGAGAACCGGTACTGGAAATAAACACAGCTATGTGAGAGCAGTGAAAAGGGGGGACAACCGAGATATCAAGTTTTATACTCATACAGCTTTCCTTCTTAATCATACAGCTTTCCTTCTCAATCATACAGCTTTCCTTCTCAATCATACAGCTTTCCTTCTTAATTTGCTGAAATTACGCAACTGTTAATACATATGCTCTTTCATTGTACGTTTTTGCCCTATGGGATCTCTTCTTGTTTCATGGCGCTCGCTGGATAGAATAAAACTTTCAATCAGAAATAAAAGACCAAAAAACACTTGTTTAACTGTATGGGGAGTTTTTCTTCAAACTTTTCCTATAATATTACATAACGAAGGTTTCCTTAAGTAGACTCAACTTAGTAAGCTTCCTCTATTGTTACAGAAATACGATATGTGTTGAGTGATTCCTCGAATACAAATACTTTATGAAACTTCACAACAACCAATAAATTGTTGTTGTGGGATATTTGAAAATTGGTTGGCTGTGAAGTATGGGCATACTTTTTGAAAAAGAGAGATATACATAATTGGAAAGTACATGTAATCACATCGAAATTACCATCATTTGCTGTTCGTTTGCCTTGAAACATTAATTCTTATCACTTTGACATTGAGCTGTGGAAATTAAGTAGGCCTGCCTATCTTACGAATAATTCATCATGTAATTCAGTGATTAAAGATCTAAATTGCGAACGTTATAATGACATTACAACGCTCGCGTCCAAAAAGGAAGGACACATCACAAGATACAGTATACAAAAATATAGGAAAAATGACTCCCATAGTGGAAGAACCATACAATACGCGAGTTTGAATTAAGACGCATAAGATGAATAATCTTAACAAGTTTTAGTATATACAAATTTTATTATACTTGATGAAGAATGTACATTTTAATAATTTTATGAAAGACACATGATGGCAAACAATGCAATAGCTTAGCGTAAATAAAGCATTTGAAGATGGCACAATGTTGCCGAAACATGTAGTCAAGTGACATGTTAAACTGAGTGCACTACAAGACGGCCATTACATACATATCATGGATTTTATTTTGGATACCTTTCATCCGAAAACCCTGTACTTCTATTTCGCAACAAATAACATTTAGTCCTGACTAAATTACCGTAAACATTAAGTAACTGAAGAATTTTGTATTTCGGGATACGAGTACAATGCCATATAGTCCGTTGAAAATAAACCGACGTTTCGAAGGAACGTTCCCGCCGCCGACTTCAGGGACTAAGAATATGATAAGCAAGAAACCAGCATCAAGCAGATAACAAGACCCTGCTGGGTTCTTGCTGCGCTTATATTCCGACACTGAAAATGGAGGAGACATATTCCCCGGAAACGTCGGTCGACTTTAAACCGAATATATGGCCGTATATCCAGAAGATATATCTCTTTATAACCACAGTTGTGAGACCTTCAAATCCCACATTAAATGACTGCTTTTACATCAAAATTAATACTTGGATTTTGTGAAGTTATAGAATATGTTCCACGTCTTTAATTAAAACGATTTTGAGTTCTTATTTAGAATTTTGAAATTAGTTGCTCTATTCATTTCCTAACTTCTATACAAGACCATTTACTCATATTGAAATTTTCACAACGGTAATTGTTCAGCTTATAATCTTCTGGGTTGCGACACTTTGTTGTCCTGAAAGATACCAAAATTTCGGAAAAAAAGTTCTGGCTCCATTCTCATGGCTGAAAGAAGTAAGCTTAGAAATTGGCTTGATTATGTAGGCATTACGAAGATCAATTTGCTTACCCCTTCGTAGAGACCTCAGTGGACACCTTCTATACACTTTTCTATAACGGATCCAGTCCCTCAACCTACACATTTTAGCCCTGAAAATGGATGCAAACTACTCCCCGAAAACGTCAGTATCCTATAGAAACTCCGTGGCTTTAGCCCGCAAGCGAATATACCGGCCCAGCGACCACCGGTTGTCGGCGAAGTTAGTGCCAACTGTAACGGATAGAGGGTGTCCTGTGGTCAGCGCAACGAATCCCCACGGCCGTTAATTTCGGTTTTCTAGACCGGAGTCGCTACTTTTCGATTCAAGTAGCTCCTCAGTTATTCTCACGAGGCTGAGTGGATATGGTAGCGCCGGGAATCGAACCCGGAACCTCTGGATCTGTAGCCAGGAACTCTAACCACTAGACCACAGAGGCGGTCAGCAGTATCCTGTAAGACTGCAATATATCACAACCCAGATGACCACAATCAAAATATTTATTTTTTTCAGAAGCCTTTTAATGAGCCGAATTTTTTACAGAACCAGCTATTGAAGAATAGGGTCTAGGAATGTGATATATGCCGTGGGTTGAGATACTATTGGCGTGCCTATGTACTATTATTCTGCATGGGCAGTTCCTTCACATTTGTTGTCAACTGAAATATGGTGATGGCGCCAAACGTTGATATTTTATCTGAATAATTAACACAGTCGAAATCTGCAGTAATGGAAATTATACCCAGAACTTATTAAGTGAATTACGTAATTATTAATTTACTAGGCATTCCGCTTCGCGCACTCACAATGAAATCATAACATTAATTACTGAAAAAAATATAAAATATGGGCACCATGAGTGTTTTCTAATTAACATTTTTCCATGAAAATGACGACAGTTGAAGACAGAGAGACTATTGTTCACATGTCCACTTATCGGCAGAATTAGTATTAGATACAGCCAGTATGTACTGCCCCCTGTTAACGAACTCTATTGGCACTATTTCGTTCCATAACAATTTTGTGTATAGAGAATTAATGCCAATTTATCTCCCCACGTCAGTTGTAATATTTTAATAAAATATTTGCCCTTAATTATGTTTGAGGTTGGCCGTGCCATAGCTCAGGCGGTTTTTTTATTGCTAGTGGGATGGGACTAAGTCCCTTGTACTACGACCACTTCTGGCCTATTGTACCAGCCCCAGATGATAGGTGAGGGTGATTGTGGAGCAATTGGTGAAATTAAGATTGGNTCTGAGTAGTTCGGTTTCTCCTGCCAATTATCGTTCCAGCGAAGGCTCCACATTCATCATCATCTATCATTCGGTTCTGGTAAAATAGGCCAGTTAGTGGCCGACGTGCCAAGCGGACTCAGTCTCACTTCAACACAAAAAACTAAAAAGAAAAACTAAAACTATGTTTGAGGCTCACGGTGGTGAATTTGAAGAGAATGATATTCTGCTATATGACGCCGTATATTCTGACAGCGATTTACCGATGTTTTCTGTTGTTTTTTCCCTGTCTTACTGTTCGACTCTGAAGGTGGAGGCAATATATTCTTCCGAAACGTTAGTAAACCTTTACCAGACTACATTTCATCACATCCCAGAAGATAATACTCTTCAGGTCACATAAGGTTTATGAGGATATTCTTTTCATTATCGGTAATTTTGAAGGAAACTAGTCGGTAACTTAAAATATTTCGACTTCGTGGCTCTGAGAGACAGATGTGTGAAACGTACGTAGTAACATGTCCTCTAAGCAGATACACGTATGTCTGATCCTGAGGGCCCTGAGTACTGTACACCATATGAGAACATCTTTATAATCATAATTTGTGCCTCTACCAGAGCTGGTTACATGGTAGAATACAAAGAGTTTGATCAGAACTCATGACACCAGACATTATTCTGCTCTGTTTCATGAAGTGTTACGTCAAATGACGTATGCATCAGTGATTAGCAGGAACAGCCATTTGATATAGCGTGACGTTTGACACGCTGAATGTGCTGTTGAAACTGTTCCTATAATTTGTATCCTCACAGCTCTATTCATTACAGTGGCAGAACCATAACACCATATGTACACTTGCAAATAAGGTTCACTTTGCTATGACCTTATACATCAAAGTGTACTTAACTGAGAGTTAAATTAGGACACTGAACTGTCTGTTCATTGTGTCTGTCTAATTGGCTACTGGCACTGCATAATTACAGCCTGAATTATCAACTGCCCTATTTGATCATAAGGTCACGAGGTTTGTACACGAACTGTCCATATAAATTCCCACATTGCTTCATAAGAAGTCAGCATACAGGGATATGGCGGTACCCATATCACATTTCAGGTTCTCAGAACGGAAGTTATGAAGCTTTCTACCTTCTGGAACGCAACGTCGTGTAGTACCATGAAATTCAATCGATGTTTCGGAAGAATATTTCGCATACATCTTCAGAGCGTCGGCGGTTGTAGGGAATTAACGGCAATACAAGTCTACGTACTTTTGGGTTATATTATGAAAACAAATGTTTTTCAATACAGATTCTCCAAGTGACTGATTGTAGTGGTATTGGTCATTTGATAGCTTACGTGCAATAAGTTGAGGATAAAACAATTAAGACATTCTTTTCTATAAACCTGTAAAAAAACGAAAAACAGCGAAAGAACTCTTCAAAATTGTTGATGATTTCGTGAAGGAAGAAGCATAAAATGACCATGCTGTGTTGGAGTATGCATGGATGAAGAAGCTCTTGTAAAGGCTGGAAATTAAAAGGACTGGAACCAGAAGCTAAGTGCACATACTGCGTGACACATTGTGAATCACTGACTACGAGGAAATTATATCCAGAACTGAGTGAAGTTATGGATGCAGTGATCAGAACTGTAAAGTACATGAAGACTTTCCTATAGATTCCAGAATTTTTGCAGAATTACGCGAGGAAATGTGGTCACAGTATCAGTCACCCTTGTTTTACCGTAATTCTCGTTGGGTGTCAGGAGGAAGCGTTGTGACAAGTGTTTACAACTTGCGAGGAGTAGCAAGCCTGAAAAATGTGCTAGAAGATACCGCAAAAGCAGTACACTAAACCACACAGTAGACAGTAAGCATAATTTACAACACCGCTGCTGCACATGGAAATGAAGTAGATCCTGGTGGGACAAGTGTTTGTCATAATTTGGGATTTTTGTTTACATATTACAGGTTTGTTTATAGAGCATATATCTCATCTGTTGTGCCGGTCACGGTAGCCGAGCGGTCTAAGGCATGCACTGTCTTCGCTCGCTCGGAAGCCGGGATCGTGGGTTCGAATCCCACTCAGGCCATGGATGTTTGTGTGCGTTTTTCTGTGTTTGTCTACAGGTAGAGGCCTTGCGACGAGCTGATCACCCGCCCAAGGAGTCCTACCGTATGTGTAAGATCAAGAAAAACCGAAGTGAACGGAGTTCATGGAGGTAGGCCTAGGCCCACTGTGGGTGTAGTGCCAAGAAAAAAAAATCTCATCTGTTGCATTTTTTAACAAGTACCTCGTGCCTGAATGCGCTAGCATATTTGGTAGAATTTTACTCAGAGACTAATTAAGTGAACCCCTCCCTGCAATGTTAGAATGCCTCCAGGTTCACTACATGGGACAGAATTGATTATTTCAAAAGTAAAAATACTGTAGGACGTAAGAAATCTGAATGCATCCAATATTTTAATTTTCTCTTTTAAGTGTCTGCAAGAGATTTCGAGTATGTGGGTATCAGAGACATTATCCAGTGCTTAAATGTATTTTTGCTCATTCCCTTCTGTTACAGATGAAAGATTCTGGATGACAAATCCATTTTCATTTAGGGATATGCCCGAATATATGTATATGCAAAGCTTAGAAACTTCTATAGATTTCACACAAACATAAATTTAGTGAACTACCATTGGCTGAATCCTGGTGCAGATGCAATCAGGGATATCCAGACTTGTCTAACATGCTGCACTTAAATATCTCCCCTTTTCCACAGTCAATCTGTGTGAAGATACATTTTCTGGGTGAAGGACCACAAAACAAAGTATCTCATATGATGTTGCGCCCGACATCAACTTACAACTCTCAACAGTCACTCAAAATTTTGGGATTTATTTTGATAAAAAAAAACAGGACAGTTCCTTTGCACTAATAAACTGTAGCTTGAGAAGTTCCTCCGTTTTGTTAATTTAGATAAGTAATTAAAGTAAAGATATCCCTGTAACAGGCCGTGGAGGTCCACAGGGTTATGAGATGTTGAGGTTCCCACATTTTCTAGACAATCGACTCATAAATGGCGGCAAGGTTGTCAGCCCTACGCGCCGGCCGCCCTTTATCCCAATGAATATTCCAAGAATATTCCTGGTGCTCATTTCTGTTAGAGGCTGAGTCGACCCCAGGGCCATAGTGCGGCCGGAAGGATTACGTCTATTGAAAAAATCCAAAGATCTCATCGGGACTTGAACCCGCGACCTTCCGGCTTGTAGCACAGTGCCTGAACCAACTACGCTACCGAGTGCCGTTAGACTAATTCTTTTTAAAAGCTAAAAACTCAAAGACATTATTAAAACAATGTTTCGCAAATCAGAAAGTTGAAAATAAACTTTTCAAACCAGCAAAATCAGTTCGATTACATCGTGTGTCAGTATGTCATATTAGAATTTCTTTTTGTTTTAGATTAATTGAAACATATATCTCCATCTTTAATTCACAGTTTACGAATTTTATTGCCCTGAGGATGTCAAGTTTTGTCGCAAATTAGAGGACACTGCAGGAGAAGTGTAAAATGTAGTAAGAACTGATCTATGAGCTGCATTTGAAGTAAACAAATAACTATTATTAGTGTACACATGTATATTACACCAGAAAGGAAGGTAATCATGGCATAGGTTGGGGGCATGAGGTCTTTACAGACTCTCTAGTTATGCCTGAGTCACCAGGAGCTGATGGCAGTGAAGTGTGTTTGATATTCTATCTGCACGCACCGCGCCACCTTTGCTTGAAATTCGCCCTGGCTATGAAGAGAACCGCCGAAATGTTAAGACTGTTTGGATCCTACTCAAAATAACGGTTTGCCAAAGAGTCTTTCTGAAGAATTCCCCCACTCGAAGGCATTTCCTCCTATTTAATTATAAGGATATATAATTTACAGTATTATTCAATGTATTACTCGAAAACTGATAATCTCGCAATGGAGCGTCCTTATTCAGAAACTAATACAAGAGTTGGAACTTTAATAGTGGCAACACTGCTGTAGAGACGCCATGCAACGGAACCAAATAATGTCGCCTATACCACACGTTAGTTACATGCCTACCTTACCTCAGAGCAAATGGTCAGTTCCCTCAAGGGTTTTGCGATTTAAATATATGAATCTCTAATCACACGTCATGTGTGTTACATGGTTCAGAAATCAGTCTTCTAATATTACGTGGGTAGCAGAAACTGAGGTGCCTCCTCAAAATTACACGCCATACTGTGTTTCAGGTACTGGGCTGTGACAAACGTGGATTACATCCACACGCGAAATGGCACCCGGATTGGAATCATGATTGTGGTAGTGTGGTTGGTGGCTCTCATCGTCTCGCTGGCACCACAGTTTGGCTGGAAGGACCCGGACTACCTGGACCGCATCAACCTGCAGCAGCGGTGTATGGTGAGCCAGGACGTGGCGTACCAGATTTTTGCTACCTGCTCCACGTTCTATGTCCCTCTCCTTGTGATCCTTGTGCTCTACTGGAAGATCTTTCAGACAGCAAGGAAGAGGATACACAGGCGACGGCAACAGAGAACCATAGTAGGTGGAAACAGCGCTCATGGTGGTGGAATTACTAATAAGACTTCTAACAACACACCACCAGCAGCATCAAATTTAAGTACTGGCAGGTTTATAACTAAAAGAAGGTTCAGAAGAATGAAGTCGAATAAGAAATCCTCGGCCGCAGAGGCTCTAGTATCTTCACTGGTACTAGTGGAAGGACATTCCACAGTATCTGTGGATGTTACTGGTGAGGACGATGAGACTCATAAGAGTTCAGACACCAGTGGTGCCTCTGGTGCTGGTGGTGGCAGTGTTGCAGAAAACTTGAAGGATACACGCATTGTTGGTGATGGTGTTGAGGATGATGGTAAAGTAGTAACAACAGCTTTCACTATTTCTAAAAGTATAGTAGAGTCAACTGGTGCTGTTAGTAGTAGGGACGGTGTAGGACCAATAACAGCTACTTCAAATAACGTGTCCCCTGAAAAATCGTCGACGGCAACCACAACTAACAATGGCTCGGCAAGTCATCAGAGCCACATCAGCGATATGAGTCGCGTTGAGATTCTTCAGAGAGAATCTTCCAACGATGCTAAGGACGTAACTGTTGGTGGTGGGAATATTAAAGAGAAGCTGCTGATGACTAATAATCAAAGACGTGATAAGAAAGAAAGTCTTGAAGCAAAGAGGGAGAGGAAAGCTGCCAAGACACTGGCTATCATTACGGGAGCCTTTGTGGTGTGCTGGTTGCCATTCTTTATATTGGCACTTCTAATGCCTCTTTGCGATGCTTGTTATATCAATGACTATATGCAAAGTTTTTTCTTATGGTTAGGGTATTTCAACTCCACATTAAATCCTGTGATCTACACAATTTTCAGTCCAGAATTTCGACAGGCTTTCAAGCGAATTCTTTGCGGCGGTGGAAGGAGATCTAGACCAAGAAATTTTAGACCAGGGAAACTTAGATAGGAACTGTGTCACACTGTTTAGGTAAGAGTTTAAAATAACAAACAATTTTATTAGGGGCTATGGACGATTCATTATACTTTGTAAATAAACATGAAATTTGATGTGTGTGATGAATGTTTCGATTGTTTTGGTGCAAATGGTTAATGACAACGAACTCCGATGTTTCATATTAATATACGTAAACTAAAGTTTCTTGTCAAGGCTTTATATTTCCATAATAATTATTTGTTTTTATTTGAAATATACGAAAGTATATGCTTCATTATATATAAGGGAGAGGAGGAAATTTTACTACCATGTCTTTCCAAGTAGTCATATCTACATATTGGAAATGGTAATTGGCGTCTAGCAGGTTATACTCCAATGTTCATAGATTAAAATTTCGCATTTTAAAGTAAAGAGTGACATTTTAAAATTAATATTAGTTAATAAGTATCGATATATTGATGTCACGAAAATGTAAGCTGTAGGCAGAATGGTTAATCATAAATCTGTATATGAAACAGGATTAGGTAGCTTATTCATATTATAATGGTCTGTTATAAAGGCTATTACTAATTTCGGTGAAACGGGCAAAACTCGTAAGTGTTTTTAAAGTGTAAATAGTAGGTAAGGGCTGTACACGAAATATACTGGCTAAATGAATCGAAAAGGTGCTTTACTCTCATTCATTTTGTAAATGGCATATTTGTGAATAAAGGATGAAGTTAAATCTTATACGTAGAATAGAATAATTCTGTGATACTTTTAATTGGTGCAACCTCCATTATACCTAATATTAGCTCAGTTAAAATTTCAGGTACAGCCTTTGTATTATGTATAATGTAATTATTTTGGGTTAGCGAGAAACAAAATACATAGGTTTTGTTTCGATACTAGAGCTTATGTTGTTCCTGTGGATACAGCCCTTTCAGTGTTAATATAGCTAGAATCTACTGAACACTTACACTTTAAAAAATTTCACGTTAATATTCTAATTTTATTAAAAATATTCCTAATTTCAGCTCTTTACCTTAAATAACATACGTTTCTTGTGTTAACTGGCCTCAAGTACTGTATACATTTAAACGTTTGCATACACAAGAATTTTACCACAAAGTGATTCTTTTTTATTTTAATATTTCAAAGGACGTTGTAATAATAATAATGAAAATGATAATAATAATAATTTAATGTTTTGGAAATCACGTGAGAGTAATTACAGTGAATAGTGTATCCACATTTATTTAAATCAGGGATCATAAATTAGTCTTACAAAATATATGGTATATTCAAAATTAAGGTGGTGCATATTGTATTTAACAAAGTAAGTGTAATAGCCTATCAATTTAGCTAGATTTTAAATAAATAAAATACACCCACTTCATTGCTTTAAATTGAACAAATTGTGATTTATAATGAAAACGTGTAAACATCATACTTCCCGTTACAGTACTTAATAATATTCTTCTAAACATTGGGGTAAAGTGACTGAATACTAAAGGAAAAGGACCTGGAATATTTTGTAGTCTCTTGTTCTTTTCTTACATGTCAGGTTGAAAGTAATTCACACAACCTACACATATCTACTTACAGTGTTCATGTCCCTCTGTTTTTAATTCTGTAAACAAAACATTTCAAATGTTAACAATATTCATTACTAAGGATCAGTCGTACTTAGAGTGTGAGTGAGTCTTTTGTTACTTCAAGTCTGCAGTTGCTGGATGAATGTGCTATGGAAGCAAGCAATTATATGGAACAAAACTAATCAAAATACTATATTTCCATATGTTTAAGTTAAGTAATTAACTCAATTAAGTGTATTCAAGTACATATACTACAGCCCCAGTGGGCCTAGGCCTACCTCCATGAACTTCTCCGTTCACTTCACGTACATATACATGCAAATAAATAAGGAATGTATATAGTCGCAATATGCACACAAGTACTACTCTGATAACATTTGTTTTCGTGAGTAAGCATACTATCCACATGTGCAAATATTTCTGAATTCCATCATGTTGTGTTTTACATACTTTAAAAAGAGGATTTTTAGACTTGCTAGTTTTGTAGAGTTCATGAAACCACAGTGACTACATTGTTTTATTTTAACACCATTTTATAACAAAAAATTCTTTATTAAGAATGTAAATCTAATGTTTTCCAAATGTATAAAGAAACTAATTATCCATAAATTTCCAATCTTCTGACATTAATAAGAATTTAATTTGCAAGGGAAAATATATGCAACAAAGATTTAATCTTACAAAACCAAATTAATTCTAACATACAAAAACTTAAATGAATTAATCATCAATGGATCGTTGTATATTTCTATTTAATACTTGTGTGTGGTGCAGATTCTTGCATATTGGGTAATCATAATATTAGCATAGCTTCATTTTTATCTGGCTATTTATCTTAGGTGTTCAAAGACCAAGAGTTAAATCTGAATACCGCATGCTTCACTTCCATCATAGTAGCTAATGACAATGTAAATGTTATTAGAAAATAGGCATATACCCACCTCCATCATACACTAACATGAATGAGTTAGAAACAGATTCAGTGAATAAAAATATATCCTTTGCCAAAGTTAAGACTGCATAAACGCGCATTTGCACTTTGTTTTGATATAAAACATAATAAGATTTTATAGCACAGAAAGTGCTTGTAAGATAAATGTTATTCACTTATTACTCATATGTATAAAGGAATGTCAATAAATATTTAATTCAAATATCTACCAAGATCATTAGGTTATAGTACAATGTTCATGATCAGTAAAGAATTAACAAAAGGCAGATTAATAGCAGCTTATAATCTGCATGAAAGGAAACAAAATTATTTTCTGTGTTTCGGTTATTACTTATAGATGCTTTTTACAGGTTATGGAGTTGAAATAATTCAAAACTGCTCTTCTTGTTTCATATGACATGAGATTAGCATGGTGGGGGTAGTTGTAAGGAGACAAATTGCGTTCATATATTTTTAATAACAGATTATATTACTGTCATATAAGCCTATAAGTAGGAAGAGTAGGTCCATCTACAGTGAACCTTGTCGATGGAAGAAGGTCTGTGTATTTTTGTGACATTCATAAATATGCAGTGAAAGTTATGAAGACAAATTATCAGACACCACACTCACTACACATGCATCATATTACATGATCAGAATTATAAGTCTATAACAGGACTGACGTTGTAATCAAAGAAATATTTATTAAATGTTAAATACTAAAGATATTTATTTGTGAAAATCCATGCCCAGGTGAATCAAATGCATCATATATTAGTCTGTGTAATGTTGTTGTGTGTGTGTGTTTCATAATATTATTACACTTATTTCCTGTTACATTTATGTTACATCATCCATGCNTTTAATACCAGTAGCATAGTTCTTTCTTCCCAACACCTAGATTGAAACAAAAACTTCAACCTGTGGCCTTCAGAGTTTCATCTTCCAATTTTATCAAAACATACTTCCTAAACTGCTAGAGGTGAAGCTCAGATAGCTGTACCCATAAGCATATCTTACTTTGGTGTGGTGGTGAATTAGATTTATTTCTATGTGTAAATCAAATTTGCACTTTCATTGAAAGAAATAATGGATCGTAGTATATATGTATAAATAACTGAAGAATGGAAGGACATAAATTACTAAAACTACTGATTGACTTTGCACTAGATGAAAAAGGCGAAAGGATAAGAAAGGAAAACAGTACTCACAAGGAATTTATAGAGAAATCAAAGGAGGTTTAAGAATGGAGATAGACATAACCGAGGACAGTCTATGAAAATGAGAAGTCCAAGAAGAATGAGAAATTTATTTATTCTATCTGGAAAATTTTCAGGGATTGGGATAATGTCTCTATTCCTCAGGTGTAATATCTATGAATATCAGTTTGTTATAGAGGTTTCTTCCAAATTTGGATATGTAAGTAACTGTGACAACGAAGAGTAGACTCACAGTTTCATTTACAGAAAATTTTGTTCAAGTATTTTTGAGCCTAAGGAACGGAAATGAGAAACAAGGAGTGACATATAGTAACAGAAATTTCTTATAATCAACAGATATGCAAGAATGCTCTGTACCTTAATGTTGTATTATTCCACATGGAAAGTAGAGTTCATAATATCTTTACAGAAAGAAAATATTCAGAATAATTTAGTGACTTTACCCAGTAGGTTACACAAGTGAAAACACTATGAACATAACTAAGTGAAACAACAAATTGCATTTTCATTATTTTTAATATTAATATTCAATATTTTATAAGTTTGTAATCTTAAGAAGAAAACAAACTGTTAGGTGGACTTTTCTAATTTGATCATTTTAATTCTAACAAATATGTATTTTTTTCTCCCTGCTTTGCAGTTTGCTGCTGGTTAGATGTTAATCTTAGCTTACTAATGCCAACCAATGACCTTCAAAAATAGATTAAAATGCATGGGGGTTAAAAGATTTATTATGAAGTAATAACTAATATAATTTATGTAACAGAGGAAAAAGAAGTTTATTAACTATATACACAAACAAGATGTATTGCTATAGGATCATTTTTGTCCTTTTTTATTTTTCTACAAAACAATGTCTGCAGCCGGAATTGTGGTGTTTAAGATATTCATTGAACATTACAGCCTTGTGAGATGCGTTTCCACGTGTTTAGGTGATAAGAGTCGGTGTTTTGGAAGAACATGCTAATTCAAATTTCAAGGTGTCGTAAACATAGACTGTTTTGATTTAAATCAAATTAACATCATTGCATTTTCCTTGCTCCTCGAATTCCTAATAAACTGTCATATTACCCCTGTTCATAATTCATACGTAGCTTGTAAGCTACATTTGAAACGAAGAGGTCGAGCAAGTGGCTTAAAACTGACCGCGCCCCAGCTCAAGCGGTTAGTCGCTGGCGTCCCACCACGGCGGCCCGGGTTCGATCCCGGGTCTGGTTAAGTGAGATTTGTGGTGGACAGAGTGGCGCTGGGGCAGGTTTTCTCCGTGTACTTCGGTTTCCCCTGTCAATCTTCATTCCACCAATTGCTCCACAATCATCCTAACTATCATCTGTGGCTGGTACAATAGGCCAATCAGTGGCCGCTGTGCCGAGTGGACCCAGCTGGACTCCACCCCCCACTAAGCGAAAAATAGGCCGCTTAAATGTAATGCATCTCGATTTTATGTCGGAGATATCTGGCTCAGAACTTTAATCTCGTGAATGAGTTCTCTTGTGAATTTTCTAGACCCTCCAGACAAATGACAGGATAGCATAAATGACTAAAACACGACAACTTCCTGATGCAATCTTCCGACGTCATTACTCGCTACTTTTTTTATACTTTAATGATGTATAGTCCAAGACACTGAGAGGTAGTAAGATAAGGTGTAAGTAAGCATATAAATAAAATATATTGGGCTATCAAATTTTACTTAGAATTATTCCATGATTTCAAAAATTTCCAGTCTTCTGGCTCCACTCAGAATGTGTCTAGACGGTCAAGTTAATCCTCTGCTTAACTAATTAAGCAATGCGTCATGGAGACGTATGGAGGGAGTGGATTTATAGATCAATGATTTCTTGACCTCGGCAATAGGTGGAGGTGTAAGCCTGATGAAAGAACTCTCCGGTGCCCAATGAAAAGGAGGCTGGACGGGCCCCAGATCCGGTCTGGACGCTGCGAAGAAGAAAAAATTCTTGATCCTACTGGGACTCGAACTCCGACAAAAATGTACACCCATATAAAAGAAACGGGTAAAACTGTGTTTCTGTGCATTTTGATGCTTAGGTTCTGTACGTAGGAGACAGAAAGCTAAACAGATTCTGGATTCAACGGAAAATGGCATTTCTCTAACACAATGTGCTATTGAGTTCCTCCTGAATTGTAAGTTTGATTCGCTATTGTCTTCCTAGAAACTTTTGAATTTATTACATATTCAAAGGGTTTATTAATGACAAACAAAAGTACGATACACTGATAAGGCTCGATCTGATGTTCTTTTAGAGAGGCTGTCTTCTTAGGATCCCGTGATCAGTTGTATTGCATAATATAACAGCGAATTCTGGATCATAATACGAATTTAATTGTAATTTTATTGAGATATTCTTGAACATAGATAACTCAATCGGTAGCTTGCTACTAACCTTACGGCTGTTATTTGATTCCCAGCACTGAATGAAATGGTATAAGGTGAATAGAACCAAGAATTTGGAAAATAAGATAGTTGAGAAGTTGTACAGGGAAATGATGCCGCCTCTGTGCTTAGAAAAAGAGAAATCTAATCACAATCTGCCATGTATTGTGCTCACTCGATCTGAAACCGGGATCGTAGGTTCGAATCCCACTCAAGGCATGGATGTTTTGTATGTGTATCCGTTATTCTGTGTCTGTGTTGTCCTGTGTTTAGGTAGGTGCCTTGCGACGAACTGCTCACTCGTCCAAGGAGTCCTACCGTCTGTAAAATTTGTAAAATTATCATAAAACTGAAAATCAGAAGCCAGGGCCTACAAGGGCTGTAGAGTCAGTAAAAGAAATCACACATTGCTGAGTCGTCAAGGAACAAAAATTGGAGAAGAAAAGTCTTAGGTAAAATTTGACTTAACATGAATGGGGAAATTAATACTTAGAATGTTAATAAATTTCACGAACGGAACACGCATTGAGGTAGCAGGATGGTATCTAAATGGGTTAAAGTGCAAATAGAAAACCAAATTGAAGAAGCAGTTCATTTTAGATAGTAAGAAAATATTTTTTTTAACTTTAGATGTGACAGGGGAAAAAACACGCATAGAGGAAATGGGAAATTGTCTAGGTAATTAAAGTGAAAATAGTTGAGCATTGTGAAGAATAATATAAGAAAATTATAGAGTGTAAAGAGTATATTTTTAAAGTTGTGGATACGAAAGGGACTGTTCACCAGGTGTCTCACCATTTACAGTCTCCCACTCAACAATAAATTTATTTTTAGAATCCGATAGGGACAGTACTTTCTTTCTATGTCATCCACACGAGCCATCGCATCCTGTGGGCAGAAGCTTCTGGTTCCATGGGAAGAATGTCCTTAGGGTGAGGCTGACTACTCAGCTCCAATTAGTACCAAATTTAACACTAAATTCCAAAGTACTTCTTCCTGGAGTAGAGCTTAAGCACAGGGTCATTTTAAAATAAAAGTAAAGCTGTCCCTGTAACAGGCCGTGGAGGCCCATAGGGTTGTGAGATGTTGAGGCTCCCACATTTTCTCTAGACAGTCGGCTCATAGATGGCCCTACACGCCGGTCGCCCTTTAACCCCAAGAGTTAACTTTCAGTCTTGGAGACCATCTTCAGAAGGATATATTAATACGGACAGTAAGTACTGTGACGGACCAGAATGAACCAAATAAAATGTATTTTTCTTCCTTCTACTTTCACATTCTCTTATGGAATATAAAAGAATTTTTGGTAAGCATCAATCAAGGAAAGCTACAAGAAATCTCAGTCAGGTTATACACTATTGTGGCCGAGAGTAAAAAAAAAGAGAACTCTCCGTTGTCAAATTACTACGTGTTGTCATTCTCGAATGACTAACGAAAACCGACTGTTCTGATCGTGTTTTTTGTTGTTGTTTTCTTGGCACTACAGCCCCAGTGGGCCTAGGGCTACCTCCATGAACTTCTCCGTTCACTTCGGTTTTTCTACATCTTAAACATTCGGTAGGAGTCCTTGAGCGGGTGATCAGCTGGTCGCAAAGCCTCTACCTGTACACAAACACAGAAAGACGCACACAAACAAACTAAACATCCATGCCCTGAGTGGGATTCGAACCCACGATCCCAGTTTCCAAGCGAGCATAGACAGTACATGCCTTAGACCGCTCGGCTACCATGACCGGCTCTGATTGGTTTCACGTTGTCAAAATCTCTCCAGGTAAAATCCTTGCATTATAACTCCAGTTAAACCAATAGAATATATAATCTCCATATTGCCCCAGATTCATAAAAATTCAAAATCAAAAATGGATGTGTACCTCGTATATATTTAACAATTTAGAACATGAGACGCTAATGCTGCCAAGAATTCATAATATAACTGAGATATGAAGGAGGCCAACATGGTCTTTTTGAGGACATTTTCGGCCATACTCCTCTAGAGACTGGGTCAGTCAGCACAACCGTCAGAGTTACCTACAGTGTCGCGCAGTAATGGAATATACAATTGACTGAACAATGAACTGATGTCTGCAGCAACCATGTGTATATACTGTAAATATATATATTTGTGTGTGTTTAATGCATTGTAACGTAACACGCAATGCTACCATTGCTACATTTATAAAATGAGAAGGCGAGAGGAAATTCGTGAAGGGAAGCGTAGCAGATATCTCAAGAGAAGTCT